GACAACTATCATCAATTCCGTTTGACGAGGCATTGGATAATGCACTGGTCTCAAAATATAGCCATCCCTATAAAAATTAGATGGTCCACATGTAACTGCTGTATATCTCATGTAGGCGAATTCTCTTGATAACCCGTTATCCTTCTCTGTTTGTCTGTAGTCAGGAAATTTTCTTAGTAACTCTGTAGCTACTGGACAATCCAAAACTAAATGACCGTTTAAACCTGATGCAATACCAACTTGAGGCTTGGATCTGATCTCTTCTTCGCCTTCTTCTGGGGGCCTCACAAATTCGTCTCCTTCATCGCCGAACGGAGATTGAGGAATGTCAACTAGTTCATCTTCAGGCACCAACGGATTTACCACTTGTACAGTATTCAAATCGTACGAATCACCTTCAAACTGGTTGTACTGAATCCTTTGATCAAACTCTTTTTCTTCCTCATCGTCGTACACGTTGGGCACGAAAGCATGGTCGTAGTTTTCTCCGGTATATCCAAAATCATGAAACTGATTCAACTCGTAGTTATCCATATCTGAATTATCATTGTACGGCCTCGTATCAAATGGATCTTCACTCTGGGGCAAAGGTGCTAAATTCGGTGCCCGTGGAGCATTGGATGTGGTGAAAATATTCGATGGTTCCATCTCTTCATCGTGGTAATAACTGTCAAATTCCTCGTAGCTGTCTCCATGGTGGTTATTATACACTGGTTGTGGTTGTTGGAAATTAATTGAATTATCACTAGCCATTCTGTCTCGTTGATCTCCTGGGTTATAATTATACACTCCCGACTGTTGATGATTTAAATAGTCGTTTAACGAAATATCGTCTTCATCCCCGTATTGGTTATGATTATTACCTAGACGATGAAAGCCACTCATGCTAATTCACTTTTGAAACTATCTAATCAATTAGAATGACCGTTTCCTGAATTTCTTGTTTCAGAGAGAAAGATATATTTTAAGATCAAACACGCGTGAACAATCTCAGCCACTACAAATGTTTTAGCATCATTTCATGTCAACTAAACGGTCGCAGTACGATTAAAATAACCTATTATTAGCATATGCATGAAGGATACGAGCCATTATCATGTTTTAGAGACGGTAGTAAGTGTATCATCGTCAACGCCTAGGCATTCAAAGATGGCCGGCCGTATATCGATTTATGCGATGACTTTTTTGGCAATAAGTACGCTTTCAGGTTTTCAGCCTCCCAATATACATATTGAATAGTAAACCACAATATCTCTATCTCTATCTTATCGTATGCCTACATGTTCATATATAAACGCATAGTCATGAAATAGGCTGAAAAATTGATATGCGTGTATATTCGATCGAATATACGCTATGCTGGGACATAAATACTTAAACGAGCATCGAATAGCGTTGAACGACGTTGACCAGCATTGGAATGTTTTATACAAGACTTAAATACTAGCTCAAACTGGCAAGGTTCTTCCCGGTACCTGCTCTAGCTTGGTCTGCTCGAATGTAATACTATCAACATTAGGGTTGGAAGAGTGCAGCTATTCTAATAATAGAAACGAGGTCGATGGTTTATGTAAGCACTCCTTCAGAACCAACAGAGTATAGCCAAGACTATTGTACGATACATCAGCTATTGAGGATAATCAGGCACTGCATGGATGATAAGCCGAAGCATCAGTTGGTTTATGTACTTTTGAAGTTGGCCTGACATAGTATTGGGATGTCACAAATTGCGGCTGATTTTTACCGAATGATCGTCTAAATGATTAGCAGATGAGTGTAATTTGTTGCCATTAGTGGTCTAGCAACTGAGAAGATATAGTTTAATGAGGTATTATGACTGTCATTATTAACCATTGTGAATTGCAAGTATATCTTCCTTCATTAATTTTACTTTCAACTGCAACAGATAAGCCGCATTTCCATTTGCAATTTGAGTGATTCAGGTCAGAATGAAACTTTGGTGTTTTTTAAATACGGGTACCTTAGGCACACATGTGGAGAAATGACAGACATATGTATATAGTAGTACTAGAATAAATCAATTTGATTGTAGGATGACATTTTAAGATAGTATGATCGAATCACCCTAAAGACAAATTTCGATTGAGCATTTTGGTGATAAGGCCCTCGATAATGGTTTATTCATCCATAATGGTACTATACTGATGCATTAGGACACCTATAAGTGTGTTACAGACAGTTACATAAACCAGTATAAAATAATACATGTATTGCATATGGAATGCTTTCGTACAAAACTGACCTCTTCCTCTCTTTATATAGAGCGCACCATATGACTAGATAAGAAAAAAAGTATCTGGCTATTCTTTACTACTATGAAACTTTTTAATTTGATATATGTGTTATGGTTGGTCGTTGTACCAATCATATGTCATACACCTAATGAGCAGGTCTTGGCCCGTGAACCAAATAAATTAACAGGATGTATAGTTATTTTTTCGCCACATTATGATCCAACAACTCCACAGCAAGTAACTGAAATGAATGATCGAATTAGAATGCTCATGGATAGCTATAGGAAATATGTTGAGAATGATTTAGAGAATACAATTAAATTTGAATATTCTACTTTGTTTTACGGAATGGCGATTGAGTTCAATAATTTGGACAAAATTCATGAAATTATTATCCAAAGCCTGTCTATAGGAGTGGATAAGCTAGATATTGACAATTATGAATTAATGGAACTGGAGATCAAGAAATTGTTCCAAAACTACAGGAAGGATGAATTAAGTAAATATGGAATCGACTTGGTTTATCAATCGGACACACCTGTGTCTATTGATGAACCTATGATGTAATAATGAATGTACGAACTACGATAAACTACACAAGTCTCATAGTCGCGACTTGTAGACACAAACAAACATGTAATCATAATCATTAAAATAGAAATAAACAAATAATTCCCCTACCAAATCATTATCAAAAAATAAATACAGCCACAAGACGCTAACACGAAAGCAAAGTGAAACAATAACATAAAAACTAGTGAGTGGCGATAAAACTCTTGAGTAGATGACCGTCTCAGTTCACTGAATCAAAATCTAATTCTAGGTCTGCCACGTTCACTCTCTTCATTTCAGTCTCACCAAAGGTGTTTTCACCCGAATACAACACGTATAAAAATCCGTCCTCGTCCTTATGCTCTTCGTAAATAGTACTCATTAATGCAGCTGTAGGTGGCAAAATATCGTTTATAAAGATAAAAATAGCCTTTTCGCTAGGCAACTTGATTCTTTTTCTTATCACATACACAAACTGACCGACTGACAAATCCCCTGGCACCAAATACTTTCTCTTATCGATCTCCTGGATATCCGAGTTTTCTGCCTTCTCACAAATAACTGGAAGTCTGTCATTGAATCTTTGTGTGATCCGAGTAGCTTCGGCCTTTCTCTTTTCTATATTTTGGTTAGCATTGTCCCCACTCAATCCACAAACGTTACGTTACTCTGTAACAATATACATACCAAATGGATGTTCGTCCTTAAATTGAGATCTCATATTAATCCTATTGATGTTAGTAATTGCTCAATAATAGATCCCATATTCATAAATGGGAAATGTTCTTGACAACCGGAGTGGCGATTCATGGGGAGTATAAACAACTAAATCTCCCTTGAATTAAAACTCTTCAGCTTATTCAAACGCTTTATTGACCAATATACTTACAAATATACTTTCTGATATACTCTATAGAATTATCGCAAATTATAATAACAATTATACTTAGCTCTAATAACAATAAACATCTAAATGACTATCATCTAGTTATCTTATCTTTAGGGAGTTGATTAATCGCGGTAGTGCGTGTTTCAATATCAAAATCGTATTTTGATAAGCACACAGTAAACATTGATTCCAACGTGTTTCCGGTACTGAACGGTCATTCGTGGGTATATAGGTCTGGTCGTAGATGATATATGTGTTCAGAATAATATCTATTGAATAGAGACTTCAACTCAATTTTTGTTGACGCTTGGTGTGGAACTTAGGATACTCGCTGGACTAAGGTTTGCTGGTTTCGGGAGATAGGGATGCCACATTGTAAGTGTATGTATGAGTTTAATGTGAAGCATGAACATTCAATGTATCGGTATTATTCGGGAAAAACCCCTTTGTACTTGTAGGGTATTTGCAATAGCTGCAAATTTTACTACAGACAATTGAATTCTGCCCTTTTCCATATGCAATTAACCACGTTCACCTTCATAGATGCCTTATAGGAACAGTCTTCTGAACATGGTTGTGACTTGCATAGGTCCTGTTATTTGGATTGTGAATGGCAAGTTTACTACGAGGGTCAGAGAACACGCTTCACAAACCAGTGCGTAATATACGCAACATATCCAGGGTAAACTGAACGAACGGAGACACCAAGCATATCCCAATTTTAACGAAACTGGGGACTAATAAAGTAATTATTTATTTCTGTATATTATATATATATGTTCTCTAAACCAAATAGAACCTATTTTATGTGTCCCATGCGAACATTCCTAATGGTACTTTTGTCGTTTTAGAGGGATTCACAAACTGAACCTTATTAGATGAAACCAGATACACTTTGATCACACATGGCCACAAAGGCATAGCCTACTGAAAGTAGTTTACACCATCACTACTTTCTTTATAGTAATTGAATATAATTTATTATAGTCTAGATTTTAGCTACATTTTAATCAATTAATCAATGATAATGTCAATTACTAACAGTTCAGTTACTTACAGTGACATTCATTCAGTCAATATGACGCAATTAACTTAGACAAAGTCCAATCAGTGCAGTTGAAGTATATTATTAATACCTAACGCCTATATAAATTGTATATAATTATCCAGTAATTTTTTTTTAATTAACTTAGGACAAGTTTAAGTTTAAGCCAGGTCATTGAAGTAAATCATTATTACTTATACCCTAATAAAAATTGTATTATTTTTTTTTTTTCCCTTTCTTTATTTTAAATTATATTTATTCATTTTATACTAAACAATCCCCTTTTAAGCTCGTCATGATTGCTAGGTGCACACTCTTGATTTCCTAAACCTACGTCATCACTGTTCGGCTCAGAGTTTTCACTGCCTATTGACAGGCTACCGTCGTCGTTAACAGTTGCTAAAGTTCCTGCTGCCATAGTCTGGTCGTGATTAGCATCTAAGACTGTGAATGAGACCACATTAGATTTATGTATCCTGCCACTCATACCACATTCGACCTGAGATCTCAAAGTATCCCAGTCATTATCTAGGTCTAGATGAGCATCGTTTGACTCGATATGTACATCTAGGTAGGCATCTATACCGCCACTACTAAACGACTGATCCCCATAGTTAGTCCTCTTAGATATAGGTCCTCTATTTACAGTTCTAATGTGTAATTTATCACCAGGTATACCTACTGCTATGTGTTTATCACTATCAGTTAGATATAAATGTGTGAATTCTTGTCCTGTCAGTTTGCTAATATACTCAGTACTATTACTGTAATGCCCAAATTTTAACAATGTCGGGTGAGTGTCATTTTCCATAACCAATTTAGCTCCAAATATGCTCTCTATATTGGCTATCAGCTCTCGTAACTCTTCGTCGCGTTTAAAACCACCTATCTCGAAACCCTGGAGCCTCAAATGCGCCTGGAGTACTGTGAAACTTTGGTATATGTTGTAGGCATTGGCAGCGTATATTATAAATGTAGTTATTGCGTCATATAAACACCATGCCGCCTTAGCAGGTTTATTGAAATTCTTACAATTGTCAATAATATCATCCCAAAATCTGTACCCGTTTATTGCTCTTTCACCACCCAAAGCTACGAAGAACCATGATGATCTCGTTAATCTTTTAGTGACTCCATTATATAACGATGGATCATTAGAAGCTGTAGTTTCACCATATTAAATAGCCTTAAATGCAGTCATTACTAAGAATATGAACATAATAATGTTCATTATAGCAAATATATATGCGGCTCTAAGAATCCTTACTGCCTTGGCATATTCTCTGTTTGAATCTGATTGTTTATTCATATTGATTGAAAATAAGTACTTACAAATATTATAATTATCCATCAAATTACTCTTCTTATATAGTGTGAAGTTAGGATTATATAAACAGGTTTGAACAGCAACTTTGAATCCAAAAACGTCACTCACACACAGGCACTTTTCAAACAGTCCCCTGTAACACTTGTTCTATACACACAAACGTGACCACACATATCCCAGTCTATCAACCTAGCATTTGTAGCTGTTATGAATCCGGAAATGTCAGAGATGAAATCTAAACTTGATAAGTCCAATATTAGTGGTCTGCATATAGACGACGAATATGGATTTCAAAAAATCCAACCTTCGGCTAATCCTCTTTCACTATCTGGCTAACCATATAACATGATAACGTTTAAACGGCTAATACATTCGAGCCGGCTGGTGCGTTCTCTGAGTTTTAAGGTTGACCCAAATTACAAATTGAAATGTGGATTGGAAATACACACCCAATTAAAGACCAAATATAAATTATTCTCGTTATCATCTTCAAAGTTCGATTCTGAACCCAATACCAACGTTAGTTACTTTGATTGTGGATTACCCGGGACCCTTCCTAAATTAAATCCAGAAGCGTTGTATTTAGCATTAAAGACAGCGGTGGCACTAAACAGCGATGTGCAATCGTTTTCAACTTTTGATAGAAAACATTACTTTTATCCCGATCAACCCCAAGGGTTCCAGATAACTCAACGCTATCACCCCATTGCCAAGAACGGGTATTTGGAATTAAATGGCGAGTTTGATGATATATTAGAGGATCTGAAAACCATTAACATCGAACAGATTCAAATTGAACAAGATACGGGTAAAACGAATTACGATAAATATGACAAGCTAATTAAAATCGATTTAAACAGAACTAATGTACCTTTGATTGAATTAGTTACAAAGGCTGATTTTGAAAATATGTCACAAATTAGAGCCTTCATCAAAAAATATCAAACCTTGGTCAAACATTTGGACGTATGTACTGGTGACTTAGAAACAGGTGCGATTAGAATTGATCTTAATGTGAGCATAAATGGTGGAAATAGGGTTGAAGTTAAAAACTTGGGCAGTTCCAGTGAATTGGCAAGTGCATTAAAATCTGAGTATCACAGGCAAATACAGTTGACAAAGGAAAACTTCCCCGTTATTCAGGAAACAAGAGGTTGGAATGGTAAAGAAACCGTAAGGTTAAGAAGTAAAGAAGATGCCGTTGAATATAGATACGTTCCGGATTCTGAATTACCATTTATTAACTTGGACCCTGAGATATCACGAGAAATTGCTGCTGCATTACCTGATTTGCCGGACACCATTATTACCAAATTGATCTCCGGGCCATATAACTTGGAATTGAAGCATGCTAAATTTTTCATTGACAATAAGGATATTCTTAACTATTATTATGATTTATTTCAAGTCGTGGTAATTGATGCTGGCAAAGACTATAAAGTTGCAAATAATTGGCTCGTCCATGAGTTGATTGGAGCCTTTTCGAAATTTGAAGTACCATTAGACATATCTTTAATACCTCCAACAAAGCTTGGAGAAATAATAATTATGGTTTCAAATGATGAATTAACTACGACGTCTGCCAAACTATTATTATCACAATTAGTTAAGTCGCCTGATGATAAAGAATTAACTATTCAAGAATTGATAGAAAAATACGATGTAGGGAAAATTAAAGATATTACTGAAAATGAGTTATCTGAAGCCGTTGAAGAGGTATGTGTTGGTATAATTGCAAACAATCAAGATGTTATAGAAAAGATTGTTACGGGTAAATCTAAGTCAATTAACTACCTCATTGGTTTAGCCATGAAAGAAACTAATGGAAAAGTAAATTCCAATGTTTTTGAAACCAAGTTTAAGGAGTTGATTGCTAATTATAAATAATAGATTAATATATTCATAAAGATATGTAAATGTTATATAATTCGCCTTGAAATTTATTTTTTTTTAACTTGATAATTATAATCAAATCCGTCATCAGCATTATTTATTGATTGATTCATGATGTATTTCAACTCATCCTTTGCTGCTATTTCTTCTTCGTTAAAATAGTCAGAAATGCTCTTAGGAGACGTAACACCCTTCTCTAAATCAAAATTCCTTTCTTGAGGACTATGAGCAGTCAGTGTTGTGGAAGATCCACCAAGGGTGTTGTCGTCAATTATTTCATCAAATCCATTTTTAAATTCACACATTGTTGGTTTGCTCAATTCTGATCTGTTACTTCCAACTCTTGTTTGGGTTGACATTTTCGAAAGTGCAAATTGACTAGTTGGACTATTATTCTTTGTCAATTGGAATAGATCTAGATGATGTGAGTCCGTCTTTGATGACCCATTCAAGAACCGACCGAGACCAATCCTACGTAATCCATTCTTGTACATTATCAATGCGTCAGAACCTAACCCAAAAAGGAGGAAGGTGACAACTGATAATGCGATATGAACCCATCTGTCATAGACTATCTCAATTCCGAAATCATAGAAGAAAATCTCTCCCCAGTATTGGTTATGAATCTCCGACCAAACAAACTCTCCTTCAAACAAATCAAAATCGGTAACGAAATAATAAACTGCAACAGGAACTAAGGCAATAACAATTAAAACGCTGAATATCAATAACCTTGCAAACCTTTTTAAATTTAATCCTGAATTTGTGCATCTTAATATATCCTTTACGTCCTTTCTTTTTCTGAAGTATGTTACCAAAGTCAGAACAGAAAAAACAACCGCAACTGCAGCCCAGATTATATTCCACATGGAATATAATACGATCGATACTGGAGAAAGAGCATATGTTACGGTGCACCCTCTATACTTTATAATAACATACCTTGATGTTTGAATGATGTAGTTTGTACACATAATAAAAATAGGCGTAATCAAGCACATCGCCAATGATATCCACATCTTCAACTTAGATCCATTATTCATGAACGCCGGATATTTCGCCCATAATACCATAAATAAGTTAAATGCCAAAGCACTGATTGCACAAATCATGCCACTGGAGGATGCAGCTTCTAGCTTCATGGTCACATCACAATATCCCACACCATTCCACTTCTGGTCAAAGTCTTCTCCTCCCCAGATACAAGCATTAATGAAGGAAGTCAAATTGAGAAATAGTAACCAGAATATTAAACATATTGGCGGAATATTTTTGCACTTGCAATGCCAAATGAAAGGGGGAATTAATAATACGAAAGCTATGAAGGAAAGAGCTGCTAATGTGTTCGCTTTGTCGTCCATCTCGTTCTAATAAAACTGAAATTATTATATATCAAAACCTCAAACTAAAATGGCAAATGTCCCACTTTTATATCTCAAGCATGTTTCATCTATCGTATCCTTTATTGTTGGTTGTATTTAGCAAAGTCATTTTATTTCACGAAGAACCTTAAATTAGATTTATAATTTGTAAGATATGGTTCCATTCACTTACTAAAACAGTAGTTTTGCTGTTGCGACCGAATTAGGACATTTTGCGATTTGAACTTTAACACGACTTTATCTACAATAGTACTAACTAAGAGTCTGTTAGCTACATTGAAGATAGATGATAAACATAATATTAATAAAGTACAAAAGTAAGCTGAGTGGCGGATATTCATAATAAGGCGAGATAAAGGATCAATTGATACAAGATTTTAAAACCTCATTTGCCGAGACAATTCCGGAATACTTTGTATCTAAGAATTTCAATAATTCAATAACCTTTTGTTTCAATTCTTCGGTTTGGAATTGCTTCATTCTGTCAATGTTTTCTTCTCTACCTAATGTTGATTCATTGATTAGCTTAATTCTTTCCATTTCTTTGGTAAAGATCTTAGCTAAAATATCAACAATCTTGTCGGTTTGGCTGGCAATCAATTCGTTACCAGATTCGTACAACTTGATGATCAACAGCAAAATTGGGGTATTTTCTTCAAATGCAGTCTCTAACGGTAAATGTCCTAATAAAGGGCCCATGATGTGTTCCAATGGAATTGCTTGTTCATGCTTCAATGCCATACGAGCAACACAACCGCATGAGTTTGCATACGATCTGTTGACAACATCCTTGGTTTCTTCGTCGTCATCACCAGCCTTATTATCAGTCTTATTCAATAATTGGAATAATAATTGCAAAATGGTTTGGTAAGTAGATGATAAGTCTGTAGCACTATGTTCGATTAAAATACCGATACCATATGCAGCATTACCTTTTACCTCTAACGATTTATCGTTAGCTAATCTATCCGTGAAAACTTCAAGTAATTGTTGAGTAGCCTGGTTGCTTTCCTTCAAACCAGAGGAAATTTCAGCCAAGGCACCGATAGCACTCACTCTCTTATTCTTAGATTTAGAATTAACTTGTGATAAAATTATGTCTTTGAAAGAAACAAAAATCTTGTTGAAATCACTACCTAAAGTGACAGATAAGTTAACTAAAACTTCTAAAGTAGATTCGAACAATAAGGCTTCAGTTTCAGAAGTATCTTCCTCATCGGCTGGGCCTTCTTCATCTTCAATTTGGCATGGATGTTCACTCTTTAAGATGTTCATTAATTGAACGCACAATCTTTCTAAGAATGAAGCTTCACTTGCATTATCAATAACGGTGATAGGACCTAACATGAAGATAGAATCAGACAAGTTATCTAAGATACACGCTACCATAGTCAACTCGAATTCTTCTTCTAAGTTAGTAATAGCAATTTCCCTAACTTTTTGAACTAATTGTAAGATAGAGCTATCAACATATGGTTGTTGAGGAACACCCTTTGGTGCCTTAAAATCTTCACCATATTGAGCTTTGAACATAGCTCTTAAGATTTTCCATAATGCACTCATAGAAGCTTCTCTCATACCGTATGAATTGTCAATTTGATCGGCTAAAGTCTTAACAGATTGTTCAACATACTTAGCGAAATCCTTTCCAGTACCGATAGCTAATTCTGATAAGGCAACTGAAGCAATTTCTTTCTCAATGGTGATACCGGTGTGAACATTAAATTTATTTTCCAAATCTTCTTCTTCACCTTCGAATTCATCCTCTCCATCCATATTGAAAGTGAATTCCTCTTGTTCTAAACATTTGAGGATTTCAGGAACGATTTGGTCCAAGAATCCAGCAAATTCGGCACCATAAACCTTTGCCATATTAGAGATAAAAGCAAACCCCGATTCTCTGATTCTTGAGTGTTCCGAACTCAAAGAATTGTAAGCAGCTTCAACTAATGGCTTAGCATATGATGAGAAGGATTCTGAACCGACGGCTCTGGCCATAGTAGAAATGTTTTCGAATGTTAAGGCTCTTAATTCAATATCTTCTTCAGTCATACCTTCGGTGTCAGCTGCATTTGCAATAAATGGCTCTAGGTATTGAATAGAGTTGTTGAAGTAAGGAGTGAAACCCTTACCACCGGCATAAGCAGTAGAACCAATGGCTGAAACAATGGCTGATTTTAATGAAGATGAATTGGCTTGTTGTAACATATGGAATAATTTGTTCATTAATGCTTCCAAGTATTGACCAATGGCATCATGGCTCATGAATTCAATCAAACCATCCAAAGCAAAACAGGCATATTTGTAAGCCATGACAGAAGTAGCTGAATCAATGATATCGATGATGAGAGGTAATAAATCTTTGTGGAAATCGGCCACGGCGTCTTGAAGTTCAGAAGTTAATTGGGATAATGATCTTAAGGCTGCGACTCTAACAATAATTTCAGGGTCCTTTAAACCATTGATTAAAGCAGGAATGATTTTGTTGATTTGAGTGGAGAAAAAATCTGGTGCACCACTAGAAGCAACACCGATACATAACAAACCAGCTCTTCTTTCGAATGCATTTGAGGAGGTCAACATATTGTTTAAGTTATCGAATAATGGATTAATAACTTGAGATGGAGGTAATTCAGCAGATAACATAGCAACAAGTCTTAAACCTAAAGTTGCAGGAGCATTTTCTTCGTTTTCATTTTCTTCGTTTTCGTTTTCTAATTCGTCTTCAACATCAATTTCTTCAGAAGCAATCTTAGCTGCAATTAAAGTGATTTGCGGTCCTAATTTATTGGAAGAAATCTTAGACTTTCTTAAAGAAACACAAGAGATCAAAAATTGCAAACCAAAAGTTCTATATTCTTCATCTAATTGAGTATTGGCAGCAATTTCAGAAACAAATTTAATCAAGTTCACTAAGTGATCACCAATCAATTTTGAATCGAGGAAAATTAAACTGTGGAAAACATTGAAAACCTCCTTGGCCTTTTCATTGTCATCGTTGCTAACAACTTCCTTCAAGACTTCAACCATACCTGGGATGGTGTCTCTAAACTTAGAGGCTAATTGGTTATTGATTTCTGCGTCTTCTTCGATAAATTGCGAAACGACATCTAATGACAAAACGGCATTAACTCTAATATCTCTAGAAGTTTGATCGGTTAATAAATTTCCAAAGAGAGACAAGAAGTCACTAACATGTGGGAGTAAAGATGGGACTTGTGTTTCCAACAAGGTATATAATGTGTAAACAGCCATTTCCTTTGTTTGAGGGTTGGTTTCTTGAATAGACTTCACCAACACTGGTAATAATTCTGGCCATTCGTTATTTTCTAAATCAACTTCACCAATTGAAGCAACAACTCTGGCAGAAGAATGTCTAATAAGTTTAGAGGATTGCGTGAAAGTGTTATTCAACATAGATTCTCTAATTTGTGGTTTCAATGAAGCATCAACCCCTTCCCAGTTGGTTAAAACTAACTTTCTAGCTTCAACCGCTGCTAATTGCTTCAATTGGTCATCTTGAGCGTTTTGCAAAATGTGAAGTAATGAAGGTAACGCTAATGGGCTGGTGTAAAATTCCTTGGTCAATTTGGCGGAAGCCTGTTTAATAGCAGTGGAATCAGGAACCAACGTTTGTTTTAAAGTTTCCTCCAAAGAGGAAATATATTGAGCATCCATGTTGGAGAGCTATAATAATCACAAGATTCTTGAATGAATAACAGAATTTTTATTGAATATAAACGATCTTCTTTTTAAAAAGTTCAAAAAAAAATTCTGAGATGACGATCACGTGAATTGGCCCGACTCTTTATATTGGCTTCATAGATGGAACCAGGAACTAACGGGTCATCTATAGTAGTAGTATAGTTGGCGTGATGAAGTTGGGGTGGCGTATTTGGAATGGTATATTTTAATTTAAAATAACTTTTTTTGTAGTTTTGTGAATGGTCTTACTTTCGTTAATATACAAATTACTATTACTCTATCTATACACGAGACGTTTACATGATGTCATTAACATTAACAGGCATTTCCTTAATCCTGATACGGTAGAAACGTTCTATATCATGTAGTTCATCCACGTCTTCTTTTGTTACCAAGTTAATTGCAACACCTTTTCTACCGAATCTACCAGACCTACCAATTCTATGGACATAATTTTCCTTATCGGTAGGTAAATCATAGTTAATGACTAACGAGACCTGTTGCACATCAATTCCTCTGGCCCAGACGTCAGTAGAAATTAAGACACGAGAGTTTCCTGTTCTGAAATCATTCATGATTGAGTCTCTCTCGTCCTGTTTCATGTCACCATGCATGGCGACGACTGTGAAGTTTGCCTTCTTCATTTGATCGGTAAGCCAGTTGACCTTTACCTTCGTATTGCAGAAAATTACCGCTTGTGTGATAGTTAAAGAGTCGTATAGGTCACAAAGGGTGTCGAATTTCCAGTCTTCTTTCTCACATTGTATATGATACTGCTTGATTCCCTCCAAGGTAATATCGTCTCTCTTCACAAGAATCTTCACCGGGTCGGTGGTAAACTTCCCAGTGACTTCAAGAACTTCTCTCGATAATGTGGCACTAACAACAACTACTTGAACACCAGGTGGTAGATATCTGTAAATTTCGTAAATCTGCTCTTTGAAACCTTTTGTCATCAACTCATCTGCCTCATCTAAAATCATCATCTTAATATTACGGGTAGCAAGGTTTCGTCTCTTAATCATGTCAACTACTCTTCCGGGAGTACCACTCACGATCTGTTGACCTTGCTGTAACTTTTTAATATCTTCGCCAACATGAGTTCCACCAATACATGCATGTGTATGCACATTCATATAGTCTCCTAGATGCTTCACCACACTCTGGATCTGTTGTGCCAATTCTCTGGTTGGTGACAAAATAAGTGCCTGGCAATCTTTGGACTTCGTATCGATTACCTCCAACATACCAATAGAAAATGTTGCAGTCTTACCTGTTCCCGATTGTGCTTGAGCTATAGTATCCTTACCACTTATAATCTGCATGATAGCACGAGATTGAATAGCAGAGGGCGCTTCAAACCCGTAGCCATATATACCTTTGAGTAAGTCAGTTTTCAAATTCATACTTTCAAAAGTTGCATGGACTTTGATGTTCTTGGTAGATTTAGCACTAAACTCTAATTCATTGTCGATGTCTCTATCAAAATCATCCATATTGCTCTATTATTGTCTTGTATTATATGGCTTTTATGAAATGTTTTAAGAGATGGACTTTTGAAATATCGCGATGCCATATTTCACTTTCTATGTCTGAGGTTGAAGCCTGAATATTTACACCATACTGATGTCTAACCGAGGACCCATTATTATATTAATTGGAGGTGGACATGCTGCCGGTAAGACAACTACTGCCAATTTATTGAAAGAAGAAGTTCGTTTTTCTCTCCCAGATATTGATCTTAGTATAGAAATAATTGATCTAGATGACTACAAAAAAGATGAAGCTAAAAGAGAATATTCCACATCAAAATCAGCAGCTATTACTCTACCAGATACTTCCGATGTTAAGCATCCACCTTTGAAACCTTCTCGATTCAATTTTGACAAATTAAGGGAATACTTGTTAAGTGGTACTAAGGTTACTCTGAAGTCACAACAAAAGATTCTTATTGTTCATGGGTTATACGCTTTGTATGATAAGGAAGTACGCGATATATCACACATAAAGGTTTTTCTTACAAGTGACCCTGATACAAGGTTAATTCGTTGGATTAGAAGAGATGTTTTAGACCTGAACAAAAATAAATCACTAGAATCGGTCATTAATGCTTACCTTCAAGGTGCAAGGGCAGAGATGAGTGACTTCATCTTTCCAACTAAGGAATTTGCCGATGTTATTATGCCAAAAGGAGCAGAGAAAAATGCTATTATGTTAATAGTTGATGGTGTAATGCTGTTATTGCCAGAAGAAGATCAACCTCAGAATATATTTTTGCCTCGTACGAATAACCTTAGACCCACAGTCAGTTTTGATGGTGAAAAGTTTGATGGTCAGAAAGGAAAGTTCTACGAGTTAAGTTAATACGAATGCATCCTTGACGAGGTTTATTTCTCTAGTTTATTATTTATGTAAAATACAAGTGTTAAATTAAAATTCCATTATCGTTAACAATATCATGAATTGGATCATTATCAATTGAATATTCTGTCAAATCCCTGATTTTATCACTCGAAATTAATTCTCTCAACTTCTTATCAGAATTATACCAGTGCTCAATCAAATAGCTCATTTCATTTGATTTTAAATTATTTGTGAATCCAGGAAATATTTCAAATGTGTTATGTTCGATAAGCGATTTCATGATGTAGTATAACTTGTCGTATCCAACACCAGATTTCACAAAGATATCAACTATTATACCCTTTGGTGGGGTTTGAGTAACTGGATCTTCTTCAATGGCTTCCTGAATATACTTACATATCAATTTTATCAATTCATCAATTGGAAAAACTAAGTCGTTCGACGATAATTTAGGGCCAATATTATTAAAAGCATTATTCAACACAATATAGATGGGTTCCTGTTTCTTTTTATCTGTAATTAAAAATTCATGAAATATTCTCTCAAAAAATAATTCCCATCTCTTCAATATGTCATCTGTATTCTTGTAATCAGAAACTTTGAAGATTAATAAACATAAATCGTAGTATCCTAATGGATCCGTATAGTTGTTGAATAAGTCACTAATGTTCAAAATCTTATAGTCTAACGAAGAAACAGCAACTTCTTTGTTTTGTTTGCTAATTCTTTCGTCAACCCTGATCGCAGTTAATATATCTAACTGGACATTTGCAACGTCAAATAATTCTTGAATCGTTGAAGATAATTGAATCATCTTTTGTCTTAAATTTGGAGGGCATGCGCAGTTGCAGAATCCATTGGCTCGGGATAAATACTCGATTCTTTGGTTTAATGTCAATTTAAATTCTGAAATCGATAATGAATATAATATACTTGCAGCACCAAAATAGTTCTCTCTCTTCGCGTGGTATAACCATAATAAATCACTCAATGCTAAGTTATTCTCTGACTTTTCTTCCAAAAATGGCAAAATATATGGTGTATTGATTTCTAATAATCGTTCACTTACATCCTGGTTAATGAACCACTGGTAAAATTCGTAATGGAACGATTTATCCTGGGCCGCAAAACATGTCTCATAAGCAGCATCTCTTATTTCAATAAACTCGTTAATAGCTAACTGATGACCGGTTTCAGTTATTTTAATTGCTCTCAAGTCGATTCTGGTCAAGATTTTGAAGATCAAATCATATAACTGTATCTTCTTCTTACTGTTTTCAACAGACTTAGAGTTCGTGTTACCATTATCGATGAGAATGTTTGCTTTTCCAGCTGTTGATGGATTATTTAAACTAGTGTTATTGACTAATTTGTAAGCAAGTTTCAACAAAAGCTCTATTGCACCAGTATAGAATTCTAAATCTAACATGATATTAATGGAGTTTTCAATATTCTCCAATGTTAGCGATTCATACGCTTCTTCAAATAAGACAACAGCATTCTTTAAACATTTAATTCTCAAGTCATAATCTCTTGTGCCGATATTCTTTGCTCTTGTTAAATTTTCAATTGCCTTGAAAATGAAGACATCGTCAGTGGAACAGAAAGATCCACAACGATCTTGTAATGATGACGCGATTAAGTCTATGGATCCTCCTTTCAAAATATTTTTATTGATGATAGATGACAATAAATCTTTAATCAAATTTTTAACATCACGCGTTGGCAATAATAGATCCTTAAACGATAATGTTAACAAGTTCAATTGGTTTGTCATAGAGAAAAACCTCAAAATATCATTGAAAGTAGTTTGGTTTATTTGGGATTCTTCAATTAAGACCATCAAGAATGATAAAGCTTCTTTCATAGAGTTCAATGATTTCAAAATTGATGTGAATGCAATGTGTTCAGCACGTAAGCATACTTCATTCTCAAACTTACTGGGGTCAGAACTATAGTTAGGGGCGTTTAATCCCTGAATGTTATTTCCATTTTCAACGAAGAATTCAATTAAAACTATCATTGAACCTATAAAAAATTCAACTTGGTTTTTATCGATATTCAAACCTTGGATTAATAAGTTATCATCTTTCACAGACGACAAGTCAATTTGACCACTATTCATTCTTTTGATATATGGTAGCATTGTAAACACTTTGCGGTTCCAAAAATCTCTAAATAACCTGGATACCAATAAACATGTACCATAAAACCTATCACTTAAAATGACTTGTTCAACAGTTGGATGTGAAACTAATGATTTATCAGCATGTTGTTGTGGTAATTGAGAACCTAACATGGAACTTGTATACTGAGGAGGTGGTGAAGTATTTGAAGGATGTAAATTATCTTGGTTATTCAATAATCTTGCATTGTTACCACACGTTGAAAATAACATTTGGGCCTTTCTTTTGAACAAATTATTAGCATTATGATGTCCATAGGAACAAGATAAATATAACAAACTTGAGCAGGTTTCCTCATAACCATTTTCTTCTATAAAATTCTCAATAGTTTCATCATTTAGCGATTTTAAAATTTGGTCAGATGTTTTTAACTGATAGATTACTATTCCAAAATTAGTCAAAATTGCAAACTTCAAGGGTTCTCTTGTGTACTGGCTAGCAAGAATATTTGCGTATCCATTTGGCGTATCTGTGGCATTCATGGAAGGTGTTAGTTGAATAATATCATGAATGTATGTAAATGATGTATCATCATCAGAACCGAATCTTATAAACTCTGCATCTTCAACAAGCTTATTGTTCTTCTTTAAAAATCCGTAGTTTGCAGTACAGATGAAAAGTTTATCAGACTTTTTAGTTCTCTTAACACACATGAAAATCCCAGGACTAATTATCTTACTATACTTTGTATTTTTTAACAACTGTGACTTTTGTTGATTTGCAATCAATTGAGATAAATACTGTTTACTTCTTGTAAATGCATCTAATTCAGAGTTCAATTTAGGTAATTCCCTTGATGGAGGAAACTTCATAGTTGCTACTGATAGTTTTAATCTTGATGCTGAAAGTGCACCAGACATAAATGATGATATAGTAGAATTGATTCCCAACTTCAATAATATACGGTAACCATAATTTGTGATTGCTATTAACTGAATATTTGAAGATTCATTCTTGAATATAGGCTGAATATTCATAATTCTGAACTTCAGAAATGCTTTAAAATTTGTAGAATCAACAAACAATGCGGAAACGCTTTTGAAAATCTCTGATGGAGTTAACTGGTTATGCTGAGTGAACTGTTCTTGATTTTTTTGTAACTTATAAACCCTAATGACGGATTTATTCGACAACGAATACAAAATCTCTCTTTCGGCGTCAATCTCTAATTGAGTTATAGTTTCTGGTATATTAGCAGTTGTATTTGCTTTATCAGTATTATTGGTTGCCTTATTCAAACCGTCATTAGAATTGAACAAATCAAACCCTGGAAATTTATTCAATGGTAACACGCTTGAGAATCCGCTTTTCGTCAAGCATACTTTATCACATTTGTTCTTAATAAAGGAGCTCTTATTGGAGTAGTCTAATCTCCAGATGTTAATACCATCGCCTTCTCCTGTGAAATATATATCATTAGTTACTTCGTTAACAGTGAAATTATTAACTATCAAACCTTGTGTAGACACCGACAAATCAGGGTTAAAAATTTCGAGATTGTTCAACGCCTTATTGTACTTAACAATATAAATATGTATGTCCATTGGAGTTGCAATCAATAAAAGGTGGTTAACATCCTTAACAAAAACATTAGGTTTGGGTCTAACCAATTTGACTTGTAAGATTGAATGTCTAATTTGATCAATAGTCAAGAACTGGCTCGATTTATTAAATGAAGATTGCGGGACTTTATAATTCCATAATACTAACTTATTATCGACAGCAATCCATGATCTTTCAATCTCTGGAAATAATCCCATTTTAGTAATACATTCAGTCGAGTTATATTCATCAAAAAATTTGTCAGGTAAATTAAGTTGATTAAGTTTTTCGAACCTAGAAAATTCGCCAAGACCTGAATCGTAGTCAAAATAATAATTGTCTAGTCCTGATCCAGTTCTGTTAATGTTTTCGTCCGAATACAAATCTGACGGTGTCATAGAATC